TAGGTGTGTCTTATAGTCCAGAGCGTCTTATACTCCAAAAAAATACGGTAGTAAAGAAAAATATTCTGTCTTATGTAGTACAGGTAATCCTTGATTTATAAACATTTGTTTAGAGGCTGTTCAAAGTTATGACACTGAAAAATGTGACTTACTACTGTTTTTCACACTTACGGCCATTGCAGCATCCCCGTGGTCACATGATCAAATTCGGATGCTTGGCAACTGGTTCATACTTATGATGGTTGCAGTGTCGGGGGGGGGTCACATGATCTCCTTTTGCACGTGATCGCCTGACAAGCAAAGTCATTGAGTAAGTGTGATGACCCAGGACAAAGCATGAAGGCAACACAGCCAGCTAAGCCACATTCGAAAAGTTGAAACGGCTGTTTGCGGCTGAGCCAGTACTCAAACACCCTGACATGGAACAGCCGTTTGTAGTACAGGCTGACGCGAGCGACGTAGCTGTAGGAGCAATACTCTTGCAAAAAAATGCAAAAGGGGAGCTGCAGCCGTGTGCCTACACGTCCCGTAAACTATCAGAAACAGAAAGGAGATGGGCCATATGGGATAAGGAGGCTTTCACAGTGAGATGGGCGCTGTAACATGGAGACATTTTTTAGAAGGAGCGAAACACCCTTTCGAGGTTTGGACTGATCACAAAAACTTGGAGGCATTAAAAATACCACGTAAACTGTCCCCAAAACAAGTTCGTTGGGCCCAACATTTCAATCGTTTCAATTTTACCCTACGCTACCTTCCTGGTGGAAAGAACTTCATGGCAGACGCACTGTCCAGATTGCCTCAGTACAACAGCATCAAGAAGGAGGTGGTTCAACTGATGATCCCCTCGACACAACTGGCAGCACCAGTTACTACCAGAGCACAGGCAAAGGTCGAGCCAGAGCTCTAGGAAGATTTGGTTCTCAAATTACGAGCATACCTGACACGGCCACTGCTGCCCTATTCTATACACTGGCCATGCAGGCGCACCCATTGCCTGCTGCATCACTCCGCTTGGACTTGCCCAGCAAAAAAAGACGCAGCAGCTGCAGGCATGTTTTGACAAGAGGGGCAAGATGCGGGCTGATTGGGAGCCCGGTGGCAGCAACAACTCAAGCCTGGTTTGCCTTCCCTGGCAGCCAGCCTCAGGAGGAAGGTAACGTCGCAGCCACAGGACAATGAAAGAGGCAGTCGTGGGGAAGAAGCGAGGAGATTAAGGGCCGGGGCCTCTGAAGGAGGGGAAACGGGGCAATACGTTGCGCTTAAGGGAGAGCGGGCTGCGAGCAGGTGGCGGCTCCGGGGCAAGGCCAGAGCCAGGGAACCGCATGTTCCCTGACCCAGCCAAGGCAGGCAGTGGCTCCAGGGCCTCGGGGAATAGTGTGTCCCTGGGGCCCTGGCCCCTGACCCAAGGTGAAGAGTGAGCCGGCGGCATGCATTACTTACCTTTGGTGAGCTGAGCTGAGCTGGCGTCAGCGAGGCAACTGGTGAGGCAATTAGCTGGGCCGTGTGGCGAAGGCAACATATATAGGGTTGGCGGGGCAAGTGTCGAGCGTCCGGAAGGGACAAGCAAGCGTGGCCAGCCAGAAGTTGCTACTGGTTCGGCGATCCAGGCCAAATTGCCACTACCAGTTCGCCTGAACCTGTGCAAATCGGCTGAATACCACCTCTGCTCCAGGCCATAATCATCTTAGTTGCTCTTCTTTACAATTTCACCCCAAAGTATCAACATCTTTTTTTTGTAAAGTTGTGACCAAAACTGGATGCAAGTAAGTGTGGTCTTACTAAGGATTTATAAAGTAGTATTATTTATAAAGTAGTAAAGTGAGACCCTTTACTTCATTCCATTCCTTCTGTTGTGTTCATCCTATTTTATCTTGTTCTTTCCTTTTCTTAGTTTTATTGTAATTTATTTATTTGTTGTGTGCAGCCCGCCTCCAAGTTTAATAATAAATATAAATAAATCCATAAATAAATAAAATGTGTGTGTGTGTGTGTGCAGCTGCAGCCAGTTTTCTGAGATTCACCTTTTCATTTTCCAAGGTGTGCAGAAAAAGCTACAGAATTATCTCCCCATTTTGTCCTCCTGATTTTTTTGAGCCACCGTAAAATGTTTGCAGGGAAGAGAGCTTTGCACCGGGTGGGGGGTGTCTGCAGAAAGCTAGATCAAAAAGCTCACAATGGCAATTATTGTGCATTTGAAGTCCTCCTCACTATTTAAAGTGAAAAGGGGATGGGCCTTTGATTCTATGGCTGTGACCCCATCTTCACTGTTTTGACCCACAGCAGATACCCTCGGCACAATGCTACAAAATTCTATCGAGAGTTCTGGTTGCATGGCAACCTGTTTAGGGATGCACGTACAAATACCCTTTCCTACAAGCATTTTGATCAGTATGTGTGATACCTTGCACAACAGGCTACCAAAGAGATTATTAAGTCCAACTGTCATAAAAAAATATTTCTCAACTGTTTCTGAATGTATAAGTCCTAACCTGGAGAGTGGAAGGAATTGTTTTCATGCCCTTTGCCTGTTTGCTTGGGAAATGTGTATCTTGATGAGCATCTATGCCTGTGTTAGCCAACCTTAGCAACTTTAAGATGCTAAGTGTGGACTTTAACTCATTTTTGAACATAAAGCAATCTCTCTGCAGTTGTCATATGAAAAAACAAAGTTCCCTGAATTTTTTCCAACTGTTTTACTATCAATCCTCAAAGCATACCGGCTGGGGAATTCTGGGAGCTGAAGTCCACACATCTTAATGTTGCCAAGGTTGAGAAACACTGAACCGTGCTGTCAAATTTTGCCATATCATAGAACTGAGGGAAATTACTGACAATGAGAACAATAAACCAGTGGAACAACTTGCCTGCAGGAGTGGTCCATCACTGGACAAGAAATTGGACAACAATTTGTCTGTATAGGATCTCCTGCTTGAGCAGGGGGTAGGAGAAGACGAGGTCCCTTCCAAGCCTATTGTTCTATGTCACATGACATTTTGTGAAGATAATGGACCAAAGATGTTTCCTGCAAAAGTACAGCATCTTGTTCCTGGCTCAGTTTGAACAATCCTATCATTCCCCTGAGAGTTTCTTGCACAGTTCTTGAGTGTCAGTACTATTTTCAGAACTCTGCCTGTCTTGAAAGCAGCCAGATCAATCCATGTAGGACCATCGGTTGGCTTAGTGCGTCTTCCAAATGTCTTTCTCACACTCTTCCACTCCCTCTTGGGTCTCCTTTTTTGCCTTTCTTTCTTTTTCTTTCTTTCTTTTCTTTTCTTTCTTTTCTCCCCCCCTTCTTTCTCTCCTCTCTTTTCTTTCCTGTGGAAATCAGATGAGTTTTATCAGGGATGAGGGCAATGCAAATGAAAACAGTCTTGGGATTTGTTACCATGGCAAGCAGAAAAAAATTATCATCAGGAAAGGGGATGGGTGGGGTAACTCAAGAAAAGGGTGGGAAAAACGCCTTCCTTGTAACCTCAACCGGATGTCCACCAGCTCTGCACTCTCCTAAAAGGCTGAGCCTATTTCTGAACTATCCCATCACAAGGTAGAGAATTTCAATGCACTAAAAACCATAGATCTCCAAACTTGGCAACTTTTAAAACTTGTGCTAATGTGCTATGCAGAATTCTGGGAGTTGAAGTCCACAGGTCTTAAAGTCTTAACAATGCCAAGTTTGGAGAGCCCTGCACTCTGCAAATAGTGACTGTGTAGCAAGGAAGAAATGCTGTAAAGGAAAACAGGGAGGAAATATTTTATTAACAGTCTCAGCATGCTCCTAATCTGTAGCGTGAACCTGATTCTGAAGCCCCAGCAATACTAGCAACCTGAGTAGGTCAGGTTTATAGTTCAGTCTTCCTTTCTTGCATCAAAAACCAATAACACTTTTCTTCTGCCTAGTGAAATCTTGCACATTTGCACATGAATGCCTCTCAACTCCATCTTGCAAACTCACAAACTTAAATTTCCAACCAAGAGGAAAGTAAGAGAAGTTGACGGGGTCATTGGTGCTAGCTTGTCAGTGTTCATTCCTGTCTAGATAGATTTATTTATCTTCTAAGGCAGTTGTGTCAATCCTGGCAATTCTAAGCCATGTGGACGTCAACTCCCAGAACTCCCCAGAATTCCCCTGGCTGGCTGGGGAATTCTGGGAACTGAAGTCCACACAACTTAAAATTGCCAAAGTTGAGAAACATTGAGTTAAGGCATTAAATAAATAATATTACAAAAATGAAATAACGGTCTTCAAAGGTGTTTATTTTCCCTCTATTCAACCCCCCAAATTACCAAACCTGGACAAATGGTGTAGAAGATTTTCATAAAATACTTGAGCAGTGAGCAAATGCTTTCTATTCTTAAAGAAAGATCTCATTTTTAAGATCTCACCTGCAAGTGGGTTGATCCTCACCTTGTCTGATCCACTACTTAGATGAAAACCCCAACTTTCATTAATGAGGATAGGAACCAAAGGATAAATACTTGAGATAAAAAAGGTATCTCCAGGGGCTTGACCAAGACGGCAACCATGATGGTGTGATTAAAGCTCTACCCGTTTTTTTGCTGTTGCATGCTCACCAACAAGCTACAGCTAGTCCTTGACTTATGACCACAACTGAGCCCAAAATTTCCATGGCAAAGCAAGGCAGTTGTTAAGTGAATCATGCCTCATTTTACCACCTTTTTGCCATAGTTGTTATGTGAATCACTGCAGTTAAGTGAACCACGCAGTTGTTAAGCAAATCTGGCGTCCCTCATTGACTTTGCTTGTCGAAAGCTGGCTGGGAAGGTTGATCCTGGGATACTGCAACCATCATGAATATATCCCAGTTGCCAAGTGCCCAAATTTTGATAAAGATTGTGGGGATGCTGTGATGGCCATAAATGTGAAAATTGTTCACAAGTCACTTTTTTCAGTGCCATTGTAACTTTGAAGGTCACTAAATGAATGGTTGTAAGTTGAGCATTATCTGTATTTAAAAAATGATAAAGGACACAAGGAAAGGGCTAAGGAAAGAGATTTATGACCCACGTCTTCAAGATCAGATACAGCTTCTCCATTTTTTTCAGCAATAGAGGAGATGCAAAGAAGAAACTGGAACCGGAACAGCATGCCGTACTCTGTGGTTCAGCAAGTTGTGTGAACGCACCTCCCCGTTAAAACGTTATTCCTTGATACCTTTCTTATACATTGCTTGTACCATTTTGTGATGATCAGTAACTAATGAAAGAGAAATCGTTTAGGCCTCCAGGAATCAAAGGCCATTTTCTTGCTCTCATGTGCTTTCAGATCAAATCAAAATTTTTATTACCGGTCAGTCTAAAAAAGTTTCATTAAATCAAACCTACAAAATACAATACATAAAATGGAACATGCAAAATAACATGGCATTCAAGGTTAAAAAGCGACAATAATTGCTGCACTACATGGCTATTTTCAAGGTGCCAGTTTTACAAGCTGAGAAAAGTAACTTTGCAATGGTGTGAATTCCCTTGAGATCCTTAAAACCCATTTGATCGATGGCCTTAATCAAATTTCTATCTGTCCTAAGTATTGAATAAAGCAGATCAATGGGAATTGCCATTGATAAAGTTAGTAGGGCGGATTATTTTGTTGTAAATCTTATTAGCAAAATTAGATAATTTTGCTGGTTTTGTGATTGGGTTCATAGGTCCAGATTTCAATTTATTTATTCATTACTCAACTCGGTTTTGGAGCTGCTCCACTTCCTGGGACAACCTGAAAAGCAAAATACAAATACAGTAATCGAGATAAAAATAAACGTTAAGAAAATATAAATAGTCAGATAAACATAAACACAAAACTAAAATATATAGTACAGTAAGTAAAATAAACATAAAAATACAAATGCAGTAAGATAAACATAAAAAGAAAAGACAAATACAGCAGTGGTGGGTTGCCCCCAGTTCGCACCGGTTCTATAGAACCGGTAGTAAAACTAGCGGGAGGCTCCGTCCACCGACCCCATCAAACCGCTTCTGCGCCTGTGCACGCGGCCCCACTACGAACCGGTAGTAAAAGTAAGTAGAACCCACCCAGGGCCGGATTTAGATGAAAAGAGGCCCTAGGCTATTCCACTTATGAGGCCCTTTCACCTATAGTGAAAGTGTAATTTTAATTTTGCTAACAATTTGAATGTAGGCCCCTCTTGATCTTGAGGCCCTAGGCCCGTGATGGCGAACCTATGGCACGCGTGCCACAGGCGGCACGTGGAGCCATGTTGCCTGGCACGCCAGCTCAGCTCTGGTGCACATGCATCGGAGTCTCTGGAGGCTGGGGACAGCAAAAAAGTCACTTCCTGTCCAACCGGAAGTTGGGAAACGGGCCGTTTCGGGCCTCCGAGGGGTTGGGGAAGGCTGTTTTCACCCTCCCCAGATGCATAGAAAGGATCTGGAGCCAGGTGAGAAAGAAAAACGGGCCTACCGGGCCATCGTGTGCTAGGAGCAGAGGGAAGGGGGGTTGCATGCGCAGGGCAGGGTGCATAGAATTATGGGTGTGGGCACACGTGTACGCGAACCTCCCCCACCCCCCCTTCTTGGCACGCGATAGCAAAAAGGTTAGCCATCGCTGCCCTAGGCTGAAGCCTAGTTAGCCTATAGGAAAATCCGGCCCTGAACCCACCCCTGAAATACAGTAACACCAATAAAAATACCAGAATGACAATGCAGATAGTCCTCACAACAGTTCATTTGCGTGACTGTTTGAAATCACAACAACCCTGGAAGAAAGTGACTTGTGACCGTTTTTCACACTTACGACTGTTGCAGCATCCCCATGGTCAAAATTCAGGACACAGTGCCCCGGAGTCATGTGATTCCCCTTTTGTGACTTCTGACAAAGTCAATGGGGGAGCCAGATTCACTTCACCATCGTTTTCTTAACTACAGGGATTCATTCAACAATTTACTCAACAACTCAACAGGAGCCTTGGTAGTACAGTGGTTTAATGCACCCTGTTATTAACACAGCTGCCTGCAATTTCTGCAGGTTCGAATCTCACCAGGCTCAAGGTCGACTCAGCCTTTCTAAGGTAGGTTAAATGAGGACCGGATTGTGGGGGCAATAAGCTGACTTTGTATAAATATACAAAAAGGATGAAGGCTATTGCTTAACGCATTGTAAGCCGCCCTGAGTCTCGGAGAAGGGCGGCATATAAATCAAATTAAAATTTAAAAAAAAATAAAAATAAAACTGTCTTGCTTAGCAACTGAACTTTTGGGCTGAATTGTGGTCGCATGTCGAGGACTCCCTGCACAGTAACAAAATGGCAATCCTCACACATTGTTACCACATCTAAGCCGAGACACGGAAGGCGAAGCGCACCGGGCCCGGGTAGGGCAGGAGCCCGTCCTTTGTCCGCCACCCCCGGCCAGGCCGGCTCCGGCACTGCCCCGGCGGAGGGCGGGCGAGGCGGGCAAGGAAAAGGGAGGCGCCCGTCGGGCCGGCACAGCCGCGCCTTCCCGGGAAAGTTGCCCGGGCGAGGCGGGGAGGAGAGGCGGCGGAGACCCTCCCACCCGCCTCCGCATTGGCCAGCCCTGCCTGCCGATCACGCGGCACCCCCCCCTCTTTGGCCGGCAGTAAGGGGACCCCAGCCCCGCCCCGCCCCGCCGCTCCTGGGCACCGGGAGAGCCGGGAGGCGGCGGGCAACTTCCTTCCCGGCGCGGCGTCTCCAGCGCGGGCAGCAGCGGTGAGTGGCTCCAGCGGTGGGCTCTGCTGCCTTCGCCCCCTCCCCTCCCTTCCCTTCCCTCCCCCGCCCCCCTTTGCAAGGCGCGGGTCTGGCCGGCTGGTCGTGTGCACGCGTCTCTCGCCTTTTGTGTCGCCTCCCGGCGGCTCTGCGGGTGCGGGAAGGGCGCCGGCCTGCTTGGCTTTGCCAGAACGACGGAGGGGTGGCAGGGGGGGGGGAGAAAGGGGCGGTCTGGGACGGGGGCAGAATTGTTTGCACCCCTCCCGGGTCTTCCCCTCTTTCTTTCTTTCTCCCGCCCGGCCGCTGCCCCGTTTTCCTGTAGGCCGGGCGCGTTGCCGGTGCAGCTGGAGGCGTCGGTGCCGGGGCTCCCCTCGGCAGCGCTGAGCTCGGGCAGCCCCCTGATTTGGGGAGACGGGCGGGGAGGGGCGGGCTGGTCTGCGACCCCGCTTTCCCGAGGGGGTCGGGCTGCAGGTGCGAAAGGTGCCCGTGCGGTGAGTGTGTGCCTTCATTCACCTGTTCGGATTCACCTTGGCTCGCCATTGTCGAGGGCTCGTCCCTTATATACCCACTGCAAATTTGAATTGTCTATGTTTCGTATCTGTCTCTCTTTCTGTCAGTCTACCGTCTGTCTGTCTGTCTCTCATTTATCTGTCTCTTTTTATCTATATTATATTATATAGTATATAGTATATATTTATTATTTATTTATTTCTTTATTAAATTTTTATACCGCCCCCTCTCCCGAAGGACTCGGGGCGGTGAACAGCCAGAATTAAAAACACACAATACAAATATGAAAATACATTAAAACAAAATTAAATTATCTTTGGCTTCTCCAATTTAAAACCCCTTACCCATAAAATTCACCCAATTAAAAATTTTTTAACCCAGCCCGGCTTGCTGAAATAAAAAAGTCTTCAGGGCCCGGCGGAAGGTCCGGAGGTCCGGGATTAGTCGTATCCCTGGGGGTAGCTCATTCCAGAGGGCGGGTGCCCCCACAGAGAAGGCCCTCCCCCTGGGGGTCGCCAGCCGACATTGCCTGACAGACGGCACCCTGAGGAGACCCTCTCTGTGGGAGCGTGTTGGCTGGTGGGAGGTTATCGGAGGCAGAAGGTGGTCTCGTAAATAACCGGGTCCTAAGCCATGGAGCGCTTTGAAGATGAGAACCAATACCTTGAAGCGCACTTGGAAGACCACTGGAAGCCAATGCAGCTCGCGCAGGAGAGGTGTCACGTGGGAGCGCCATGTCGCCCCCATAAGTACCCGCGCGGCCGCATTCTGCACCAGTTGAAGCCTCCGAGTGCTCCTCAAGGGGAGCCCCATGTAGAGAGCGTTGCAGTAGTCGAGGCAGGAAGTAACGAGGGCATGAGTGACCGTGCATAGGGAGTCCCGATCCAGAAAGGGGCGCAACTGGTGTATCAGGCGAACCTGATATATAGTATATACTATACTATATTATATTATATCTATATTATATCTACCATTTGTCTGTCTATGTATCATAATCTATCATTATTTGTCTCATCTCTCTCCTATCATACTAATATAAAGATCTTAGTATTAAGTAATCCATTTCCAACCAAACTAATTGTCATATTAAGTATTACTTGGATACAAAATATTACAGACCTTTTTTTTCCCTTATGCGGTCCTCAATTTTAGTTGAAAAGTTAAAAACAAAATAGACTTGCAATATTGACATCTTTAAAAAATCTTCGACCTTGATAGAACATTTATTTTTTCTTCTTTTCAATACGTAGAGCTTTCTGAATAATAAAGCCCTTCATTTAAAATCTTGAGGATCTAAATACAATTGTCTTGAAATCTGGGTTGATATAATAAGATATATTCTTTCATTTATAACATGGCAGTAAAAGGATTTTTTAACAAAGAAGAAAAAGAAAAGCAGGTTGCTGATCAGAGCTGGGAAGGGGCTTTGGGGAGCCACCACCCATCAGGATCTGTTTCTTAGTGCTGGTTTTGAGAGGGGCTCCTGGACAATGCTTTGGGTCACCTTGCCCTGATATTCAGGGGTGGAGTAGAGACCGACCAAGCCAGCCTTCAGAGAGTTTGGACAGTTTTTTTTTTTTTATTATTATTATTATTATTATTATTATTATTATTATTATTATTATTATTATTATTATTATTTGCTTTAATTTATATGCCGCCCTTCTCCGGAGACTCAGGGCGGCTTACAATGTGCTCAGCAATAGCCTTCATTCTTTTTGTATATTTATACAAAGTCAGCTTATTGCCCCCACAAACTGGATCCTCAATTTACCTACCTTAGAAAGGATGGAAGGCTGAGTCAACCTTGAGCCTTGGCGAGATTCGAACCCTGCAGTAATTGCAGGCAGCTGGTCTTAATAACCAGCTTAATAACAGGGTGCCTTAAACCACTGTACTACCAAGGCTCTTAGTTTTGTTCTATTTGGCTGAGGCAGTGGTGATATTTACATGAAGTTTGTTTTGTTTTTGTTTTTTTAAATTAAAGCTACAGATAGTCCTCGACTTACAACCAGCATTTCTGTTGCTAAGCAAGGAGCTGCTATGTGAGTTGCACACAATTTTACCTTTTTTTTTTTTTTTGCTACAGTCGTTAAGCAAATGCAGTTGTTAAATGAACCATGCAGTCGATAAACGAATTAGACTTCCTCCATTGACTTTGCCAGAATCTGGCTGGAGAGGTCGCAGGTGGTGAATCACGTGACCCTGGAACACTGCAACTGCCATAAACACCACGAAGAACTACTCTCTGAGGAAAATGGGCGGTTAAGGAATACGGCATATAAACAAACTCCCGTTAGTTGCCAAGCTCCCGAATTTTGATCACGTGACTATGGGGATGCCATGAGGGTCACAAGTGTGAGAACTGGTCATAAGTCACTTCTTTCAGCACTGTTGGACTTAGAACAGTCACTAAATAAATGATTATTAAGTTGAGGACTACCTGCACTGGATGTATCAGAGAAGGCTGAACAGCAAGACAGAGTGAACCTATCTTAGGAAGTCATTTTGGGAAGACTCTGTGTGTGTGTGTGTGTGTGTGTGTGTATTGCTTTGTGGATTGTACTGATAGGATCCCACAACGTGGAAACTTTTCAACTTTTCACAACTCTGTTAATCAGATTAAATCTTTTAGGTCAGGCAGTTGAAAAAAATGCAATAGAATAAATTTATTTATTTATTTATTTGTTCAACTTGTATGCCGCCTTTCTCCGAAGACTCAGGGCGGCTTACAATGCATTTAAAAACCATATATAAAAACATTAAAAGTTAAACCATTAAAAACAATTAAAACCCATTCACACCATTCATGGCCGGATCTCGCCAGATCGCAACAGATCGACGGCCCCAGGCCTGCCAGAAGAGCCAGGTCTTCACCGCTTTTTGGAAGGCCAATAGGGTGGGGATGGTCCGGACCTCAGGAGGTAACTGGTTCCAGAGAGCCGGGGCAGCCACAGAGAAGGCCCTCCCCTGCGGGCCCACCAGCCAACATTGTTTAGCTGACGGGACCCGGAGGAGACCAACTCTGTGGGATCTTACCGGTCATTGGGAGCTATGTGGTAGAAGGCGGTCTCGAAGATAACCTGGCCCTGATCCATGTAGGGCTTTAAAGGTAATAAGCAACACCTTGAATTGTGACCGGAGACCAATAGGGAGCCAGTGCAGCTCGCGGAGAATTGGTGTAATGTGGGTGTACCTAGGTGCACCCATGACAGCTCTCGCGGCTGCGTTCTGGACCAACTGTAGTCTCTGAACACTTTTCAAGGGTAGCCCCATGTAGAGCGTGTTGCAATAATCTAACCGTGAGGTGACAAGGGCATGAGTGACTGTGAGGAGAGTAAATCAATAAATCAGATTTCCGTTTTGCCCTGGCCTCATCCAGTCACATTCCCATTGAAAAACCCATTGTAGCCTGTTGTGGCTTTTCCAAATTACACTTCTGACTTGGATTGTCAAACACTTGCCATGCTTCTGTCTTTCTTTCTTTGGTGCATCTCTGGGGTGACACAATGGTGCTCTTGACCAGATAGAGCTTTGGGACTATACAAGCAGTCCTTGATTTACAACCATAACTGTGCCCAAAAATTATGTTGTTAAATGAGACATTTGTTAAGTGAGTTTTACGACCTTTCTTGCTACAGATGTTAAGTGAACCTCTGCTGTTATTAAGTTAGTAGCACAGTTGCTAAGTGAATCTGGTTTCTCCACTGACTTTGCTTGTCAGAAGGCTGCAAAAGGTGATCACATGACTCCAGGACATTGCAACCGTCATAAATATGAACCAGTTGCCAAGTGTCTGAATTTTGACCACCTGATCATGGGGATACTGCAATGGTTGTAAGTGTGGAAAACGGTCGTCAGTCACTTTTTTCAGTGGCATTGTAACTTTGAACAGTCACTAAATGAACTTTGTAAATCGAGGACTACCTGTACTTTTACAGCAAATCCTTGATTTATAACCACAGTTGAGACCACATGTTTTTGTTGCTAAGCAAGAAGTTATTAAGTATGTTGTGCAAGATTTTATGAACTTTTTTACCACGGTTGTTAAACAAATCACTGCAGTTGTTAAGTGAATCATCTGATTGTTAAAGAGATTCTGGCCTTTTCATTGACTTTGCTTGCCGAAAAGCAACCTTGGATGCTGCAATTGTCCTAAATACATGCCAGTTGCCAAATGCTTGGTTTTCGATCACATGACCATGGGGATGCTACAAGTGTCATAAGGGTGAGGACCAGTTGTAAGTCACTTTTTTCATTGCAAATTCAAATGGTCACTAAATGAATGGTCGTAATTCAAGGGCTGTTTTTCTTTAATTATAATGACTTTCACAACAATTCTTTGATATATACATTTATACATTTTTTAAAAAAAATGTAGTGTGTTAGATGAGTCCTTTATCTTCATGGAATTAATATATGTTCTGGGCTGACAGCAGGGGTGAAATCCAGCAGGTTCTGACAGGTTCTGGAGAACCGGTAGCGGAAATTTTGAGTAGTTCAGAGAACTGGCAAATGCCACCTCTGGCTGGCCCCAGAGTGGGGAGGGAATGGAGATTTTGCAGTATCCTTCCCCTGCTACACCCACCAAGCCACACCCACAGAACCGGTAGTAAAAAAAAAAAAATGGATTTCGCCACTGGCTGACAGTATTTCCTTACCTACTACGGGTAGTCCTCAACTTACAACAGTTCATTTACTGACTGTTCGAAGTTACAACAGCGCTGAAAAAAGTGACTTATGACCATATCTCACAGTTACAGACTTTGCAGCACGTGATGATCACGTGATCAGAATTTGAATGCTTGGCAACTGACTCATATTTGTGACGGTTGCTACATCCCAGGGTTATGTGATCACCTTTTGCGACCTTCTGACAAGCAAACTCCATGGGGAAGCTGGATTCATTTAACAACCATGTTACTGACTTAACACCTGCTGTGATTCACTTAACAAATGTGGCAAGAAAAGTTGTAAAATGGGGCAAAATTCACTTAACAAATGGTTCACTTAGCCGTAGAAATTTTGGGCTCGATTATGGTCTTAACTCAAGTGCCACCTGTAGTGGCACTAACTTCAAGGTTTTGGTTACCACCTTTAAAGCGCTCCATGGCTTAGGACCTGGCTATCTATGGGACCGCCTGCTACCACCAATAGCCTCCCACCGGCCAGTATGTTCCCATAGAGAGGGGCTCCTCCAGGTGCCGTCGGCCAAACAATGTCGACTGGCGGCCCCTAGGGGGAGAGCCTTCTCTGTGGGGGCACCTACGATCTGGAACGAGCTTCCCCCGGAGATACGGAGGATCCCGGATCTTCGCACCTTCCGTCGCGCGCTTAAAACGTTTTTATTTCATCAAGCTGGCCTGGCCTAAATCTTCTCCCCTTTTAAATATAAATTTTAAACATAAATTTTAATCAGTTTAATTAGGGGGTATTTTAAAATTCAGCCTAAATTATCTAATTTGTTTTAATTTATTTTAAATTTTGTATTTCTGTGTTTTATCTTCTGGCTGTTCACCGCCCTGAGTCCTTCGGGAGAAGGGCAGTATAGAAATTTAATAAAATAAAATAAAATAAAATAAACTACCTGTAGTGCCACTGTCACAATCCTGGCCTTGTGGCCACATCCCTCATGGCTCAGCCATTGCAAAGCATCGTAATACTTCTGGAATTTTTTCCCGTGTAACATGAGCCTGTTAAGATCAGAGACTACATTTGTTCAACCAGATTTTGTTGTCTTTGATACTTTCTGGTGATAAAGTGGGAGAAACACACACTGACACAGGCACGCACAAAGATAACAAATCACAATAGGCCCTTGTTCATGTTTTAAAGCCGGGCCAATTTATCGTGGCATGATTTCTCATGGACTGGATTCCCATGATCAGCTGTGTGGCATTTTGTCAGCAGTTGGCAGATGCAACATATTCATGAGTGCCAAGACAGAAGAATGTAAACAGAGGGGTCAGATGTCAGTTAAATACAACCAACAGGGCAATCATTGTTTGTTAAACTGAGGCTGGAATGTAGGCAAAGAAGTTGAGGAATTATCCACAGGATGGATGGATAATTTCTCAAAGGATGACGGATTTTGGAGACATGCATACATATCTTTATTTATTTTTATTTATTACATATATATGGCTGCTCATCTTACAGAAGCGACTCTGAGTGGTGTAGAAGTACTCCTCGACTTAACAACCGTTCATCTAGTAACCTTTCGAAGTTACAACAGGGCTGAAAAAAGTGATATATGACCAGTTTTCACATTTACAATTGTTGCAACATGGTCATGTGATCAAAATTCAGACGCTTGGCAACTGACTCATATTTATGATGATTGCAGGATCCTGGGGTCATATGATCACCATTTGTAACCTTTCTAGCTGGCTTCCAACAAGCTAAGTCAATGAGGGAAGTCAGATTCACTTAATGACTGCACGACTCACTTAAAAACTGCAGGGATTTGTTTAAAAACTGGCAAAAAAGTCATAAATGAACTTGTTTAACAACTGCTTTGCTTAGCAACAATAATTTTGGGCCCAATTGTCATATGTTGAGGACTATCTGTACAACATGCAAATTGAACAATTAACCAGTGGAATGGTTTGCCTTCAGAAGTTGTGGGTTCTACATCACTGGAGGCTTTTAAGAAGAGACTGGACGCCACTTGTCTGAAATGATAGAGCCTCCTGCTTGAGTAAGGGGTTGGACTAGATCACTAGAAAACCTCCAGGATCCCTCCCAGCTGTATTCTGATTGATTGCTTGATTGAACAATTGAACAACGATCATGCCCAATGCTTCAAAATTTGCAAAGTTTTGAATAGAATAACAGAATTGGAAGGGACCTTGGAGGTCTTCTAGTCTAACCCCTGCTCAAGCAGGAGACCTATACCATTTCAGACGAGTGGCTGTCCAGTCTCTTCCTTAAAAGCCTGCAATGTTGGAGCACTCACAATTTCTAGAGGCAAGTTGTTCCATTGATTATTTTCACTGATGGGAAATTTCTCCTTATTTCTAGATAGCTTCTGTCCTTGATTAGTGAATGGTATTGGTGAATGGTGTTAATGTAGAGAAAATAGGAGGAGGAAGGTATGTTCTGTATGTTTACTGCCTTGAGTTGTAAAGCTTATCTTATCAACTTATAAACCTTATCTTTTGACCTGCAGCAGGATAATGATGCAAGATGAAAACAGCTTTTTGCACATCAACACTCAACAATCTTGATATGAGGGATCCCATTCCCACTCTTAAAAGAATCAAGATGGGCCTTCTATAATTTGACCTTTATGTCAACATTTGTCAACCTTTTGAAATAGGCCAAGTCAAGAAATAAGCACCTCATGGATTCCTTGCCAATTTACTCTTGTAGGACATCATACCTGTAACAGTATCCTGAAAGCTTTATTAATTTTATAAATAACTCAAGGTGGTGAACATAACTAATGCTCCTTCCTTCTCCTGTGAGGTAGGTTGGGCTGAGAGAGAAGGACTGGCCTAAGGTCACCCAGCTGGCTTTCATGGCGAAGGCCAGACTTGAACTTATCATCTCCCAGTTTCATGCAAAAAGCCCATAAAGGGTTTCCAGTCAGCCATAAATGTAAATGTTGACTTTTCTTCAATCATAGATTTTGATTTCTCCTTCTCTGCAATTTCTTTTTCAGCAACTATTGCTCCATTGTAGGCAGTGCCAAAGCTGTTCATTTTTGAGCTTATAACAATCTCTCTGCAGTTGTCTTGCATAAAAACAATATTCCATGACTTTTCCCCAATTATTTGGCCATCAATTACCGAAACTTTCTGGCTGGGGAATTCTGGGAGTTGAAGTCCACCCATCTTAATGTTGCCAAGGTTGAGACTTTCGTAAAGTAACAAGGCTTGAAATGAGAAGTTTGGCTATAGGGAAGATTGAAATAATGGATAGGGATTCATCATACGATCTTGCTTGGTTTAGTCTTCTGCCACCAAATCTTCAAGGATGTTCCAATCATTATTAGCTTGTCTGTCCCAAGGGTGCTTTTTCAAGAGATAACTAGACTTCTTTTTTTTTTTGAAGACATTTCGCTTCTCATCCAAGAAGCTTCTTCAGCTCTAAGAGGAACAAGAAAGTCCAGTTGCCTCTTGAAAAATCATCTTTGGACAACCATGACCTGGATGGCTGAGAATCTCCATAGACTATTAGCTTGAATAAAAACTTGGGAGGCAAGGAAAAAGTATTGATTAGCAAGATATTTCGTGCTCCATATTTCAGTTTTGTGGCTAATGCCATGGAACTTCAAGCAGTAGGTTTAATAAGTGGTCATGCAAATTAGAGAACATTAGAACATGGCCACCTTTCTGGCTAAAATGGCTTGAAGAGAGAAAGTGGTGTAGCACTTTAATTCTGTAGATTCCTCTTTCTGGTTTCTGCCAATTTCACATTTTCTAATTATGGAAATAAAGGCAAAATTCCTTTGCTTGGCAGGCCAGACAGGTGTGTTCAAGAGAGGAACTGAATAATGTGTGATTCCATGATAGATACCCTTGGGGTGGCCCAGCATGGTCCATTAAGTTCTGGGCAGGTTGCTCAGGCTGACTTGGGTTAGAGGCTCATCCATGCAGGAAGAAAGAGTTGATTAAGTCTCTTGGGGTGTAGGAAATCCCCACTTGCTCAGGCTGGATTCTGGGCAGCTAGGTCTGTTCGATCATATATTCTTTAAATTTGTGATTTATTGAGAATTAGTTGTATGGCAGTGCATCATCTGTGCTGATAGACCGAGCTAGTTATATTCAGTGGACTGAGAGGAGAGCAGAATGGATATATTTTTGAGACATATTTTTAGTGATTTCTGGGGATTAAAGGAGGGTATGTCAACAGCAGCTTGGTTGAAGGTAGATGGATTAAAGCAGAATTGTCATGTAGATTTAGTTGAGCTTCTTATAAATGCTCTAAACTTTGTTTCATAGCAGGTTATGTCCTCCATAGTGATTACATAAAGGAATTCTCTCCAAAAAATTCTTCTGAGTCTGGGAGATCACTTGTCTTGAGAGGGTTAATATTTCTTTAGTTAAATCTTGATTGCAGTGGTTCAAGGTTATTGCTTACTACCTATCTTTGAAGTTAGTTCCACTGAGTTTTCGCCAAACACTGGAGCTCAACCCAACAGCCTAACTGCCTTTAAGTTAGGCAGTTATGGCTTAAGGGTCAGTTGAGGGAGAAAACACCCTAAAGCTATGGGCTGGAAAGATTTGAACATGTTCCCAGATTTTTCTCATTTTAACTATGGGTAGTCCTCCACTTACATCAATTCATTTAGTGACCGAAGTTATAATGGCACTGAAAAGATTACTTATGATGATTTTCCACACTTCTGACCATTGCAGCATCCCATGGCCACATGATCAAAATCTGGATGCTTGGCAACTGGCCTGTATATATCATGACAGTTGCAATGTCCCAAGATCATGTGATCCCCTTTTGTGACCTTTTGAGTCAATGGGGAAGCCTTACCAGTGTTACTAGCTTGACAACTGCAGTGATTCACTTAACAACTATGTGAAGAAAGGTCATAAAATGGGGCAAAAGCTATTTTGCTTAACAATGGATGGAAATTTTGAGCTCAGTTGTGATTGTATGTTGAGGACTACGGTACCTGCCTCATGGGGGTAATTGAGGTCTTGAAGTTTTGTCTGTTTTCAGGGCAGCTAGGAAGCAGTTTGGTTGTCACTGGATGTATTTGAGATCTGGTGGTACAAGGAATTGGCCAAAGATAAAAGGATTGTGTCATAGAGAAATCCCATCATTGTGTCTCTATGGGTGTGTTAAGAAGGTATTTTCTGTGATAAGCAGTTTTGGGCTATTATGTATTACATGTCTGGAGGAATCGATATATGTCAAAAAAGAAAAATAATGTGCGAGCCTTTTAGGATAAGGATTGGGAAATTAAGAGTTCATAGTTCCATTTCTTCTTTTACAAAGAGCTGGAATAAATCTTAAAAGCCTTAGGAGATTCTATTTTGATTTTTGCCAGAACAAAATAATTGGCATAAGTGAATAGGTATTGTCCTCCCACCTGAGGTCACCTGCCTCTGCCTCTGTCTGTCTACCGGTTGAATTACTGAGGATGAGAAATTATACCACTGGACTACTGAGCTTCATAAAAACCTGAAGTAGGCTTCAAAGGCCATAAGTATGATATTCCTGTTTTGTGGTTGATCGGTGTAATGTCAAAGCAGTACAGATATGAGATCAGCCATTTCGCTTTTTATTGTTAAAATGTTCAGAAACATAAGCACTCCCTAATCCAGGGATGGGCAATTATGGCAACTTTACAACCTGTGGACTTCAACTCCCAGAATTCCTGAGCCAGCCAAGTCTATAGGTCATAAAGTTGCCATAGTTGCCCACCTCTGCCCTAATCCATTAAAACTCAATAATAGGACTAGTTGTGTAGCTGTCAATGTGGAAAGAAAAAGTACAGGTAGTCCTAGACTTATAACCACAATTGAGCCCAAAATTTCTGTTGTTGAGTGAGTTTTGCCCCATTTTATGACCTTGCTTGCCACAATTGTTAAGTGAATCACTGCTGTTGTTAACTTAGTAACATGGTTGTGAAGTGAATCTGGCTTCCACATTGACTTTGCTCGTCAGGTCACATGTGGAGTGTGATCACGTGATCCCAGGACACTGCAACTGTCATAAATATGATCCAGTTGCCAAGCATCTGAATTTTGATCATGTGACCAAGGGGATGCTGCAACAGTCATAAGTGTGAAAACAGCCATAAGTTACTTTTTTCAGTGTCGTCGTAACTTTGAACAGTTACTAAATGAATTGTTGCAAGTCAAGGAAAACCTGTAGTGTCAGACTTAACAAATTCTATTAAAGTAGGGTTACAATAAAATAGAATTAGTTCTATTCATATTTCTGCCTGGTCTGTCTATTAAGGTTGGCATCAATTTTGCAAGTCTTAAAGTACTTTTCTCCCTCTTTGCAGCCCCAAAACTAGCAAGGGTCTCTTCTGAGTCTTGCCCCACCCACACTCCTGCTGTGGGCTCAGCTGCCTTTTATGTAACCATTTCCCGGTTGCATTTCTTTGCCTGGTCTACCAAGGTTATTCCAACATACCATTGCAGGATCTTCTAAAGCGGGGGTTCTCAACCTTGGCCACTTTTAAGATGTGTGGACTTCAACTCCCACCATGCCCCAGCCACAACACTGGCTGAGGAGTTCTGGGAGTTGAAGTCCATGTGTCTTTAAGCAGCCACAGTTGAGAAACCCCTTTCTAAAGAATTGCCAATTTTCAGTATATTGTCTTGATGCTCTTTCTCTTTTCTTCCCAATTCCCTTCCCTTTTTTCTTTTTCTTTTAGAATTTCCAGGATGCTTCGGTCAAAAGATACAAAAGAGGAAGCAGCCATGAGATCGTTGGTCTTCACTTAACGATGCAAGCCAGAATGGCTGCTGTAGAAGCTGCAGGCATCGTTCAGAATCCCAGGGCCAAGTCTCTCTTGGATGGAAAAGAGTCCCAGGAGGAAAATGGGGCAGCCAGTCACCTCTCCGAACCCTGTGATGCTTCCTTCGCTGGGGCAGAGCCAAGTCGGCAACAGGCACCGGCCAGCAAACTGAAGAAGACAGCCTTTAAATTCTTCGGGGGGAAGAGAAGCATCTGCACCCTACCAAGCTTTTTTGGGGGGAAGAATAAAAGCCAGGCCAAGGGAGCTTCCAAAAAGGGTCTCAGCAAGAGCAAGACTCATGATGGTATCAGTGACACGGCGCACAAAGAGGCCAGTTCTGGATGTCTCAGGAGTCCCTCAGATGGAGGACCAGACTTCCCTCCTTCCCAGCTGCTGCCAAGTTCTCAAAGCACTGTTTTAGGAGCTGATCTCAGAGTTGGCTTCACCCAGACCTCAAACTTTCTGTCCAGCAGCTCTGAAGGCTTTGAAAAGAAGCTGATGGGAGAGAAGTCCTTGTTCCTCCCAAGATCCAAAAAGGGGCTGAAGGGGCTTTTTAACAGCATTCGCCGTCATCGGAAGAATAAAGTTGCTGAACCTGAGAAGACCGAGCTGCAGGAATGGGCTCTCAGGGACACCGTGACCGAAGAACAGCCATGTGGAAATGGGCTGGGTGGGAGTCCTCAAAGTGGGACTGTGACACCAGAATGTGCAGATAATTTCTCCAGCGATGCTGTGCCTCAAATAACCAACCATAATGAGGCAGGAGAGATGGACTGCTTGGCCTCAAGCCCAGTTAGGTCCATTGGTGAGGCAGCTAGAGGACCAGTGCATCCTGCTGATGGGCAGCCAAGCCTGGAGGACATCTGTGCTGACTCTGCCTACAGTGATCTCCCTGATGCTTTTGAACCAGAGTTCCTGGAGAAGAGCCCTCCTTGCATACCATCCGGGGAACAACTTAGCTTGATGTTTGGGGAGGTGACGTCTCTTAAAAGCTTTGACTCTTTTACCGGTTGTGGAGATATCATTGCAGAGCCGGATATTGATAGCATCACGGAGAGTTCGACGTCTGCGGAACGCAGCCGGGATGCTACCAAGAGGACCTCTTGTTTGGTTACTTACCAAGGCGGAGGGGAGGAAATGGCCCTGCCGGAGGATTTAGAAGAGTACCTCCAGCAGATGTGGGTAGGAACCATCAAAGGAGATGCAGCCTCTGAAGCACATCTGCCAGAGCTTATAACCAAATGTGACCTTCAGGGCATGAATGGAGCCAAGCAGGAAGTTAATCTATACACTGAAGGAACAAGGAATGATATAGACCTTCTGACACCACATAGTGACCAACAAGAATCTGCACCCAATAGCGATGAGGGCTACTACGATTCTACCACCCCAGGTCCTGAAGATGAAGCTGTTGATGGTTTAGATGAAATAAAAAAGGACCGCCTTCCGCGGGACAGCTACAGCGGGGATGCTCTTTATGAATTCTATGAACCAGATGATGCAATGATGAGCCCATCTCATGGAGATGGATCCTGGTTTGATGGGAAAGTGTCTCCTTCAAAGATATTTGACCAGTTCTTGGACTTTGCTCTCCCCGATGAGAAGGACTTGATCTGGCTGATGGAACAGAAAAGTGAAGTGATGGAAACAGAAGAGCAGAGGTTGGCAACCCTCCAGAAACAGCTGCTTTTTTGGGAGATGCAAAGAGACCCGGCCCTGAAACACCTCCAGGAGCTTAGAAGAGACCAACCTCTGAGACCAGGGCAGCTGTCTGAATGTAAAATGCAAACAACCGGCTTAGTTGGGAAGAGCTCGAGTTGCCTTGGTTGTGAGCAAATGAATTTTTGTGCTTTGAACGACAGTCTAAATGGTGGAAAGAAGCTAGCAGAAAGCCAAGACTGGGAAGATGATTTTCATAAGAAGCTCTGTCCAGAAAAGCTTTGTGATAGCAGCAGCACCATTAAAGCACACAATAGTTGCCTTATTCAGCCGTTAGAGAATGGCTCAGAATTGGGCTCCAGTGGTGAACAACTGGTGCTTGATTCCTGTGCTTTGGCTTCGGGAAACTCTGTGACCTACCCTCTCTACAGGGCGCATGGCCACCACAGCTGCTCTCCAAGAGCTGACTTTCAAGAGCTCTGCCAGGAACGCAACGTAGAACCAGAGCAAGCTGTCAACTTCTCACAAGCCTTGGTGGAATTTACCAGCAATGGGACTCTTTTCTTCAGCCTGTCTGAAAGTCTTAGAAGCTCCGATTCAGGCTCTGAGTTCACTCAGAACCTTCCTGACCTCCCCACAATGGTGACTTTTGACATTGTCGATGTGGAACAGGAAGGGGAAGGGGAATGCGAGGAGCATCTGGAGATGAACACGGATGAGGACATGACTGCATCCTTTGAAGCTTTTAGGGACACTTATGACTCCAAAGCATCCTTTGAATGTGATGAGCGAATGTTTCCTGAGTATCCTCAGATCTCTTTCCACTGGGGAGCTGCCAGCCTTCCTCGGCGTCTTCGACTTCAGGAGCTGAGTCCACCTCTGCTGGAGCCGCTGTCTGTCTGCAGGAGAAGCCGATCCCTTGATACCGAAAGTCTGGACTTTGAGCTGGCAAGTTTGCAGCTATCCAAGAAGAGCTTTAGGCCGTTTGAACTCTGGAGCAGTTCCAAAAAGGATCCTGGTCCTCTTGGATTGGACAATGGCCAGGAAGGTATGCCACATTCTCCAGAAGAAGCTATTGGTGGCCTCTCATGGCCAGGACAGTTGAATGTACTACATGGCAAGGAGGAATTTTCCTTGCAAGAAACAAAAACAGGAGAGACTGGTTGGAATGCACTCCCCTCTCAAAGTCCTTGGGGAATATTGGAGCACTCTGACATGGCTCCTCCTTTAGCTCACCTGGGACCGAATTCCACCAACAAACCAGCTGGACACCTTCAAGCAGATGGAAGCAACCATCCAGTCCTTCCAGCATTGAGACCATTGACCAGGCCCTCCACTCTGTTTCTGCAGGCGCCTGTGATGTCACCAGAGGGCTCTATTCCTAAAAGGCCTAGTGGGGACAGTCTGTTGAAAAAACATGCTTGGGAGAGAACAGTCTAGACTTGCCTTTGAGCTTTGATTTTCCTTGCTCCCCTGACAAGCTGTCAATGTGTAAGCTTGGGGATGTGGCTCAGGGAACATCTCAGCTTCACACCAAGCAGTGCTGAGACCACCTATAGGGGCAAGGCTGAACAGTGGGGAAACTCTAGACCCAGAACATTTGGGAAGCACTTCCTGCCAGCTAGCTAGTCTATGAATTTAACTAGCCAAGTAGCTTTTGTGAATAGGGATCCAACTGAATTGTTTTTGTTCCGGTGGGCTGTGAGAATACAGAAAATACTGCAAACTGTTGACTTTGGTTTGAAGCTAGGAGAACTGGGTGAAATGTTGATGTTTCTCCTTAAACAGAGATGCTTGTGGGTAGTGGGGACTTCTGTTGATCCACAAAACAATACGAAGAGAACAGGGACAGTCTCAAAAGTTGAGATGGGAATAAAGTCCTGAATTATTTCCAATTGCACCATCATGGGAGGAGGAGAAGTAATAATTTCCAAAAGTCAACTAGGTGGCCAAAGTTAGAAGGTATATTTTGGAGGAGCAAAAAGCTCAAGGACCTGCCAAAATGAGACATTTGCTTATGGTGAAACTTGTTAACTCCTAGTTTTTGAGGGCACGTGTGCTTAGAAGTCAACTTGCTAAGCTGTTTTTATTCCTAGAGATGCCTGTAGAAGAGAGTGCAAATAGAGATGCTTATGGTCCCAGAACTTCCTCCAGAGTGGGTGGGGCCAATTTTCTCTTTCTTTTTTTAGTTGGGAGGGAAGTTAAGGGACAGAATTAGTGCCTTAAGCCTTCTAAAGGCTTAGCACCCATTTTATATCTCCCCCAACGGGTCTTGGCCTGGGCCATGGTTGGAATGTGGCTTTTGACAAGTGGCACAAGGTCTTGGATAGACTTGAGCCAACAGAAGTCTGGCACTTGTGATATATAGGATTGCAGCTATGCAGCATATCTTAAATGTGCTTACTTGTTACAGCAGCATTTCCCAACCTTGGCAAATTGAAGGTGAGTGGATTTCAATTCCCAATCCCCATGGCTATGCTGGCTATGCAATTATGGGAGTTGAAGTCCATATACCTAGAAATGGCTCAAGGTTTGGAAACCCTGTTTTAGGGTATCCTGCTCAATTCAGTTGGGTTTTATGTAGTTTTAATAGGGGAGGGGAGGCAGAAAACTACCCAACCTGGTGCTTGTCAGTGAGGAGATTTGGTTGCAGTGGATGGGCTGGGCAAAATAGCAAGAAGTTGGCTATTAGTTAAATTAATTAAAGATGTGATTAGAGGGGAAATGGGCCAAAAAAGGCTCTGAAATCTCTAATCTAGGAGGATCTTACTTGGGGGTATATTGTTTTTAAGAAGACATGCATACAATTAAAACATTAAAAACACTTCTTGGTACTGAAACAAAGTAATGTCAATGCAGTGGAGGTCTTGTAACGTCTGAAAGAGCATATTTTAAAAGGAGGGGGGGAACCCCGATACATGCAAAACTGCCCTTATTTAAAGTAATGGGATTCTGTTATTTTTTTTATTATGGTTAAATTTCCAGAAAAGAGCCTTGGCTTGTTTGTATGTGTTGGTTCTGTGTGTGTGTGTGTGTGTGTGTGTGTGTGTGTGTGTGTGAATCCTGCCCCTAGCACTTTCAAGGCACTGTGCCATTTTCCAGGATCAGCTGGCCATTGCAAGGAAGCCATCTGATCCAGAGAAGGATGCAGTTGCTTTAATGAGCTATGTCCAGACTGTGTGTGTGCTCCAAAGTTCATTTTTTGGAATCAGATTCGAAGTGCTGCCAGGCAGAATATCTGTTGAAATCAATTTTCTAGGGTGCCTAGAATGGCTGTTCATTGAAATACTGAATGCAGAGAAGCTTTTTAGGAAATAAAGCCTCCATCAGTTGGCCAAAGTTGACTTGGTTTCCTGAATTCCTCTCACAGCTGTCTTGTACTGTATCACAACTTGTCCCACCGGTCAGAGAAAAGTTCCTTCTCTTTCCAAGTCAGATTGGCTAGTTTACTAGAAAATCCAGATCCTGTGTCCCACCTGTGCACGCTATAGGGCAGGTAATATGCAGCAAAAGCTCTCAAATCTGTCTCTTTGTCAAAGACATGGTTCAAGAATGCCCGGTAGATATATTTATGGAATGAGGGGTCCTTGGTGCTCTGTGAGCTTGGTTGTTTTCTTGTAGACCTTTCATTACTCAAACTTGGTAACATTATCAGTGCCAATGAGTACTGAGTAACACTGATGATATTATCTAGTTTGGGTAATGAAAGGACTACAAGAAAAACTCAGAAAATATCAAGGAATATTTGAGCTACAAATATTCTCCTTTATTGATATTTGCAAAGTTTGTTGAGGAGAACTTCAGGGAGACTCAGCTCTAGCAATCCATGCAACATTTTTTTCATAGTTGCCCCAGCGGTGTTCAGAATTCGCAACTGAGACAAACGTTGAAAGTCTGATTAGAAGGTTGGTGCTAATACTTCAGAATCCTTTTTGCACGAAGATCGATGCAACTTTTTTTTTCAAAAGCTCGCGGGCAGAGCAAGAGCGGGTCCGACTTCTGCATGATGACGAATAAGTTGACAAGCTATCCGTGATTATCACCCATTCTTCATTTGGCTGCTGGAAAACCTTTGAATCCTGGTCCCTGAAATTGGGGGGTGAGATTTTACTTTTTAAAGAAATGGGAATGAAAAACGAAACCATTGTGATTAACTTAAATTAATCCGGGCATATCATTTAAGTTCTCCCTCTAAATAGGAACTAGAATATTTGACGCTGCCCTCTTCTGGATGCTGCTCTTGAAAAGAAGAAAATGGAGTTCTTGGCCATAAAAAGGCTGCTTCCATTTGTAGTAAATCAAGGATTTCCCATTTAGGAGTAGCCGTCCCTGGAGAGAAAAACTGAAATCTGGTAATAAAATAGAGACAAAGCTACTACAGGTAGTCCTTGACTTATGACCACAATTCAGCCCAAAATTTCTGTTGCTAAGCGAGACAACTGTTAAGTGAGGTTTGCTTCATTTTACGACTTTTCTTGCACAGTTGTAAAGTGAATCACTGCAGTCATTAAGTTAGTAACATGGTTGTTAATCTGTGAATCTGGCTTTTTCATTGACTTTGCTTGTCAGAAAGTTGCAAACGGTGACCACATGATCCCGGAACACTGCAACCGTCATAAATGTGAGTCAGTTGCCAAGCGGCTGAATTTTGATCACATGACCTGCATGCTGCAACAGTTATAAATGGGAAAAACAGTCATGTCACTTTTTTCAGTGTTATCGTAACTTCAGACGGTCACTAAATAAATGGTTGTAAGTCCAGGGCTACCAGCAGAGGGGAAAAGCGTGAAGTCCTGAAGTCTATTGAATAAAAATAAAATAAAGGACAGGCTTTCAGTGTTTGGTGAAAACAATTAAATTGGGCAGAAAGATTCTATTTCAGTCTTAATGATAATAACACAGTTGGAAGGGATCTTGAGGTCTTCTAGTCCAACCCCCTGTTCAAGCAGGAGACCCTATACCATTTCAGACAAGTGGCTGTCCAATCCCTTCTTGAAAGCCTCCAGGGAGATTTCCCTGCCATGTTAATTTTTTGGGGGGAGGAAACTTGCAAGTTACATAACAGCACCTTGAAAGCCCTACCTTCCCTACCTCTGATCTTTGGGAACAAGTTTTCCATCTGATCTCCGTTTTCTCAGACTCTTCTGGTCTTGGACTTCGCTACTAACCGTCAATTTGCCATCTCCTTCAAAGGGGGGATTCTTCTCAGGATTCCAATTTGGGTAGTGAATGGAAAGATTTGCTTGAAAATCCCTGAAACCTCCCTCCAAACATTTGGTGGCACTTCAAGCAGGGTTGATTGAGCCCAAAGCTAGCCTGTTTGTTAATTCCACCCATCTAAAAATATCTAAGACGGCTTTCCTTCTGAATGGCATGTCTTGATTCATAGAGCAATATCCCCTGTTGCTCTTAGCCAACATTGGCCAATGTTTGGATCCCATATCTCTGACTGCAAGTCTGGGTGATTCCAAGCCAAACGGCAATTCACTGGTCATGGCGTGGTGGGCCATTAACACTTGAGGATCCTCCAAATGTTGCCTACCTGGGACTTCTAAAATGGGATGGGTGGAATTGAGAGGCACGATCTGTTGAAGGGACCTTTGTTTTCAATTGCTGCAAACAATTATGCTGCCGATAGGATGGGTGAAGTTCACTGTGTAAAGTGTTTTGTTCACAGATTGAGGCTTTCGGTTGCGTTGGGTTTGGCGTGGCGTGCACATAGTTCTTTCTTCCTTTTGAATATATCACCAAAGACATCTTGTGGAATTGTTAAATGGCGTAAACACTTCTCTTTTTTTATTTGGTTGGTTGTTTTGGGGAAAAGGTGTATAGGTGTTTGAACTAATAAGAATGTTTCTCTACAGATATGTATTTGCTAGCCTCCGGGTTGTGGATATTTATAGAAATGCTTTTTTTTCCCTAAAGAAAACCAATTTTATAATATACTAGGGTACTCAAGACTTTGACTTTGCATCTGACCTTGTTCTAAAAGGGTTTTCTGATTTTGGTTTTGTGGTCTCTTTGAAAAAAAAAATGTGAATTGTCGCAAGAAAATGTTGGCTGAATTGTGAGGATGGGCAAGCACGAAAGGTGGAGTAGTAGAGCTGGAATGGATCTTCTCATGTTAGGATCTGTCTTATAGTCTTGGTTGGACTTGATCGGACATTTTTGACTTGATAATTTTCAAGGCTCAAGAAATAGAGAAGATTAAGATGGCAATTTGCATAGCACCATACGTTACACAGAAGGGGATATTGTTCTGACAGCTAGGGGGAAACTGTCATGTCTTTGATGGCTCCCTTGTATTAAAATATGTACTCTGTGCATGTAGAAAAACAAACGTCCATTAGCTCTTTGAGGTAGCCCAGATAAGTAGCATAAGTACAAGCACCAGCTGTCCCTATATTAGGGTCAGATTACATTAATGGAATTTTGCACATCTGAAAATACAGGCAGTCCTCAACTTACAATTGAACCCAAAAATTCTGTTGCTAAGTGAGACATTTGTTAAGTGAATTTTGCCCCATTTTCTCATCTATCCTGCCACCGTTATTAAGTGACTCACTGCAGTTGTTACATTAGTAACATGGTTGTAAAGTGAATCTAACTTCTCCAATGACATCGCTTGTAAGAAGGTTGCAAAAGGGGATCACATGACCCCGGGACACTGCAACAGTAAAAAATATGAATCAGATGCCAAGCATCTGAATTTTGATCACACAACCATGAGGATGCCACAAAGGTCATGTGAACAACAGTCATGTCACATTTTTCAGTGCTGCTGTAGCTTTGAACGGTCATTAAACAAACTGTTGTAAGTCAAGGACTACATGTATTAACCCCCTCCTTTCCTTTTATTCTCCAGAAACTAGGGAGAGTTCCTTCTCAGATGTTTTCCATGTCCCTTTTCCTTTCATGGACTGAGATACCATTTTTATGATGGTGGTCTAAGCTGCAACTCTTCTTGCTGTCTCCCAAGGTCATTCTCACATACTGATACAATATCAGGAGGCGCAATGAAGGAAATGAAGAAGAGCTTCTTCACTACAAAAAGGACTTAAAAGTCTACAAATGTTCCCCAACCTTCCCTGCTGCCCATCTAAAATGGTTCAGTGTAGGATTATGACCTCCTCATTCTTGGTAATACATTGAAATGAAAGGACGTAGGTCACAAAATCTGAGGCTTGCTCTGCTTTCTAATTTCTGGGGCAGTTGTTCATTTTTCTGAGAAGGGTTGGTTGACGAATTCTGTAGTTGAAAGTCTACATAAGGTGGGAACATGCAAATTTCTTGGGGACCGATGGAAGGGCTCTCCACTCATCCAAAGATGATTTGCATCAAAATAAGAGTTTTGTTGCAGTGGTTCCTTCAGCTTTGTAGTCTGTCCTTTCCTCAAGAAGTCATCACTGGACCAAGCAATCCTGGACAATTTTTATCCAGTTCTTCAGCCTTCCTTTTTTAAGTTGTAGGAAATATGGTCAGGCAACAGCATCAGAAGTTCCTGGAGAAAACAGATTATTTGGATCAGTTTTAGCTAGAACATAGTCCAAAGATTGCATTGGTTGCACTTGGGGATAAGCTGTGGTAGAGCTTGGGTGAGAGACATTGGGGTCTCTCATCAAGGAACATTGGACATCTTAGTTGGTTGAGATACTGCCAATTATAGTACTTATGGACTGGCTATGGGGATTTAAAGTGGTGGACACCAGATTATGATGGTTCTCTTCCTTTTTCTGGTGGCTTCTACATAGCATTAACAGAGTAGAGATCAAGTCCATGGCCCATCATCTGTGGATGCCCAGGGACTTGACGCCCTTGCCCCTTTTGTTTTAACAACTATACCAAGGGTCTCCAAACTTGATCATTTTAAGACTTGTGGACTTCATCTCCCAGAAGCTGAAGTCCACAAGTCTTAAAGTGGCCAAGTTTGGAGACTCCTGCTCTACACAGAACCACCTATTGAACCCATCCATTGATTTGATGTCCACACTCATCAGTTTGCTCATGATACCGAACTGTACCTCTCAACCCCAGCTCTCCCAACAGATGCTGCTCAATGTTTTTTTTCCAACGTCTTGAGTCTGGGTAGGTCTGGATTGCAAAGGGACGGACTCGGGCTCAATTCTAACAAGACTTGAATAGTTCTAGATATTTGCCCATCCCCCCCTAGTTCAGAGGACTTTCTAACTCTAGTCTAGTCTTGGATTTATTTATTTATTTATTTAAATTGATTTATATGGCTGCCCAGCTGACAGATGTAGTTCTGGGTAATTGACGAAAAACAAACAAAACTAAACTAAAAATATGTTATATAAATATAGGGTGACACTTTCTTATTCAAGACTGCCTCTTTGTGGTAGACCTTGAACACCAAAGTTATGAATATTAAAATGACTTTTATTATAAGGTTACAGTAAGATATTCTTTCAACTCTCACTACTACTTCTACTGAAGAAAACTAGGGAGGATTCAGTCTGAGGCGCTTTTTCAAGTTACACTCCTGCTTTGGATTCAAATTTCTCTTATCTGACCATTCCTTGGCTGTGGCTGTTTCTCCTTTTCCTCAAGATTATTTTTTACAGCTCATTACGACTAGTGTGTAATCTTGGAGACAGTGGATTGTTTTGGACTCAAAGCTCCTGTCTGAAGAGCAGGTGGCCAATAAGCCCTTTACAAAGACCCATTCAATGTCCCAAAGATGTTTTTTTCCCAAATACATTTTTTCAAGAGGCAACTGGACTTTCTGGTTTTTCTTTGAAGATGTTTCGCTTCTCATCTGAAGAAGCTCCTTGGATGGGAAGTGAAAGTCCAGTTGCCTCTTGAAAAGCACCTTTGGGACAACCAAAACTTGGATGACTAAGAATGTCCATAGACCCATTTAATGAGCCAGTTGCATCCATTCCTGGATCTGGAAGCATTTCAGACAGCCACTCCTGCCCACGACACCTCACAAATAGAGTACAGCCATGCGGTTTACATGTGGCTGCTCTTGAAGACCCCTTGGAGGCTACAACTGGTTCAGAAGGTGGTGGTGCAGGCAATATGGGAAGTGCCATAATCAGGGCATGTGACACCACTGTTCAATGAGTTGTACTGCTTATCGGTTAGCTTTCAAGTACAGGTCATCCTTGACTTATGACCACAATTGAGCCCAACATTTCTGTTGCTAGTTGAGACATCTGCTAAATTTTATGACCATTCTTAGCTCAGTTGTTAAGTGAATCACTGCAGTTGGTAAGATAGTAACCTGGTTGTTAAGTGAACCTGGCTTCCTCATTGACTTTGCTTGTCAGAAGGTCACAAAAGATGATCACATGATCTTGGGACACTGTGACCATCATAAATATGAACCAGTTGCCAAGAATTCAGATTTTGATCACATGATCTTGGGGATACTACAAAGGTCATAACTGAGAAAAATGGTCACTTTTCTGGGCCATTGTAACTTTGAATGGTCACTAAATGAACTGTTGTAAATCGAGGACTATCTGTATAATTCAAGATGCTGGTTAGCATCTAAAAAGCTTTTTGTGGCATTGGACGTGGTCGTTTGAGGAACCAGCTATCTCTGATCATTTCTGCTCATCTGGTAAGATTGAGTAGAGTAGATGTACTCCAGGTGCCTCTGATTAAACAATGCCCTCTGCCAAGGTCTAGGAAGCATGCCCTTCCTATCCCAGTTCCAGTTCTCTGGAATAAGATCCCCCACAGATCCATGGGTTTTCCCCCTTGATGATGTTCAGAAACCCTTTGAACCCCTTCCTCTTCTCCCAGGCTTTGGGGTAGGATAGCGGTTGAGCTTCATGGGATAGCCATGACGTGGATCAGGGGTCTCCAAATTTGTCAACTTTAAGACTGGTGGACTTCAACTCCCAGAATTTCTGAGCCACCATACGAATTCTGGCAGTTGAAGTCTACCAGTCTTAAAGTTGACAAATTTGGAGACGCCTGAGCTGGATGATTGAGAGTCTTCACAGACAACCCCATGGAATGTTTTGACTCTACCTATGGTCTCTTCTGGACATATCCAGTCTGTATCTGTTATCATTGTTTCCTTCTTTTTAAGCATAAGCTGGTCAAAGCCTATTGGAGTAGACCAGCCTCTAAATCATAAATTAAAAGAAATCAACCTAGTTTCATATTTGAAGAAAAGATGATGGTTGCTACTTCTATATGTGCAGTGAAAAGCAGGGGGAACATGTTAATAATGGATTGTAGACATCAGTAGACTTAAAATTGATGTCTGCCTTCATTCATCTTGTCCTCCAGGTATCCTGTCCTTGAAAAGCTCACTTTGATTTTATTCTCTTGGGAGAATCTCTGGCTGGCTTACATCTTTGCTTTGGATTAGGGAATAGTGTCTTTCTCTTAAACGGGAATAGGCAGCCCTGTTTGCTAAAATTATTAGGTTTCCAGGGGAATTTACAAGGAGCATCTGATGACCTATTTGCAGAGCGGGTAGGATTGGACTTAACAATTATTCCTTGTATCTTTTTAACAACTTGGTGCACTGACACATCTATCTTAATGCCTGCTGTTTTTAAAAAAGAAAACTAAATATCCTATTGCTGGACTTTAGTGATTTGCCCCCAGCTTTTGGCAGAGTGATGTTCAGGAATTGCGGGTTGTGCCACAAATTGGCTAGGGTGTGGTGGCACAGTGGTGAGAATGCAGTATTGCAGGTTAATTCTGCTGACTGCCAGGAGTTCGATTCTGACAGGCTGAACGTTGACTCAGCTTTCCATCCTTCTGAATTCAGTAAAATGAAGATCCAGATGATTGGGGGCAAGATGCTGACTCCGTAAGCCACTTAGAGAGGGCTGTAAAGCACTGTGAAGCGGTATATAAGTCTAGTGCTATTGCTATATGATCTGTTACCAAAGGCTGCTCGCCCCAACTGTAAGCTAAAAAACTGATTTATTGCTGCTTTTCTTGTCTTCCTCATGATTCTTAAGAGGATGTATCAGTTACATTTTAAGAGTAGAAAAAATGATTGTGCTGAAATATTTCCGTGTTCCAATGTGTTTGTTGTGTGCTTTACAGCTTTGGTAAGAGTATTATTCAGTTTTCAGTTGTTTTAAGATCACATGAGAGAAAATTTAAACCAATACCTTGGGATCTTCTTTTCCTGAAGTGTCAAAAGCTAGTTGTCAGCGTAAGAAGAAACAAATGCATTCCAGTTCTTTGACTGATTTTATACAAAATCTTAACCCTAAATGCATAGAACAAGATGCACATTTAAAGTTGATGTGATCTGTGTTTAAGCAAATATGCCGTATTAGGACAATGTGATAAGTTGATTCACAAAAATGATTGAGATTGTTTTGGTTCAGGATTTTCACAACACAGTCACAATCTAGCCTGTCCTAATTTTGCATAGTCAGCATCTTAGATCAGTGTTTTTCCAACTTGGGAACTTTAAGATGCGTGAACTTCAACTCCCTGAATTCTCCTGGCTGAGAAATTCTGGGAATTGAAGTCCACACTTCTTAAAAGTTGCCAAGTTTGAAAACTGTTTCAGTGACCATCAAGCCAACTGAGAGGACTGATATTAAATTCCGCCCTAGCTTTATTGTTGTCAGCTTTTACTGTATTAGAACTGTGAGAGCCTTAAAAATTGAGTTAGGGAATTCTGTGTTCTCTTCCTTATTTCTTCTTTTTTATGAGCCCAATGAAAAACTTGATTTATTCCCTTTTTTCCCTGACAATTTCTAGTTGCTTCTTCTTTTTTTTAAAAAAAGGATTTTACATCTCTGGATAGTATTAAAATATGCCTTGTTACAGGAAAATGACAACTGGAAAAAACCTGCCTTTTAAGGGTAGCAGAATGATTTACTGTACTGGGCTTTACTGGGCTGTCCTTAAATGTAGTTATGAATTTGTATTCTTGATAAAAATGTTTTCATTTGGAAGAAGAAAAAATTAGATATTGATTGAATAATGAAGTGGGGCATTCTCTTTGTCACGCAATGACCGTGAAATCACTAATACAGATAGTCCTCGACTTACAACTGTAACTAAGCCCAGAATTAGTCATAAGTCATTCCAGTCATAAATTGAGTCATCATGTGACCAGACCCAATTTTTTGACATTTTTTTGTAGCAGTTGTTAAGCAAATCCATTTTCCCCAATGGGTGAAATCAGCAAAACGTGGTCACATGATTGCAAATCATGAGCTGCTTGCAAAGTGCTGAAAATGCAGTCATGGGACTATGTACAAGGGGATGGATGGATGTAGCCATTGTAAGTTCAAAAACGGGTCATAAGTAAGGGGAGGATTGTCGTAACTGAATGGTCATTAAGTGAATAATCGTAAGTCAAGGACTACCTGTATATCTCCTTTTTAGTTGTAAATACACAAATCAAGTAAACTTGAAGGACACAGTAATCTACTTGGGCACAGAAGGACAGTTTATCATCTACATCTTGAAACTTTTTAGTCTTAACATATTTATGATTGTATATTGCAAATAGTTGGATATTCAAAGAACTATGATTAGGTATGTATTTTGCAAAACCAGACAGAGAAAAAGTAATATTTCAGTATTTGGAGGGAGCAGAATTGATCGCATGCTCCATTTTGAGAGCTGTTTGAGACTCAACAGTGAAAGAGAAGTTCCTAGCTCATATTTTGCTGGATATTAGCAGATATTGCTCTACTTTGTCCTACTCTACAGAAGAAGCTGCAAATGTGGATTTTCTATTGATCTGTTTCTTGTGCTTCTTTTCCTATACACCAGGCAGCTAATCATGGTCACACTGTATATACATGAGTTGAGCTGGATCAGGAAAATGATGATATAAAGCAGTATTTCTCAAGCTTGCAACTTGAAGATGTGTGGACTTCAACTTCCAGATTCTGAGAGTTGAACTCCACTCAAGTTGCCAAAGACTGATATAGAGAGAACTTCTATAAGCAACCTTCTACCATCCTAAGAAACCTAAGATCTGGTGCTGATCAATGTAGTGAAATAATCTCATTGACTTGTAGAATTTTGAAATCATTCACGCTAAAATTGCAAAGTATATGTAATCACTGCCAAATGTAAAGTTGTCTCATGCAGTTGGGTTTAATGTAAATGAAACTTCTCTTGTTTCTCATTCCGTCTTTTGATTGTTCCCCAATTTGTTTTTGTTTGGGTTTCATGAATGTTTTTTTAAAAAATCTTCATTGGACTGTTCTTACATGGTTTTCAAGATATTTTGCAATGAATGTTCTTGCTAAAGGCTAATGAATAAATTTGAGGGTTTTTTTTTTAAAAAAAGAGGTTACTCTCTTTCATTGCATTTTTTTAAAAATAGTTCGTAATATCGTATTTATAAGTTCTACCAAAAATTACATCTGGGAAATGAAGGTGATTCCAGATGAGACATGCTTGAAGGCATGTCTCATCTGTAAGCATGTCTCAGGATGTTAGGGTTCAAATTGTGATTTACAAACCTTCCTGCAACACTTGTTGAGATGTAGAGTCTACATGAATCTAAGCTGTGAAAGGATGGGCTAAAGTAAAGACTTTAGTAAAGACCAAAGTGAGAGCTGTATGCAACACCATTTCATTTTAATGTATGCCAATTAGTGTACATTCAAAATGACAATAAAATTATTCTAAGTTTTAAGTTTAAAGTAAAGACCCTTCAACCCTCCTTTCGCCTTCATAGTATTTGGCCTACCTGCCCATGCTGCCAATGTTGACAAGATGGAAAATAAAACCTGGCAGAGAATGGGGAGGAAGCATCTTTATACATTTTTCATGAACTCAAGTCAGTTGAGAAAGAGATCAAACCTAGGAGAAATTTCCTGACAGTGAAAAAAATTAATTAGTGGAACAGCTTGCCTCCAGAAGTTGTAGGTACTCCCATCACTGCAGGTTTGCAAGAAAAGATCTGACAACCAGTTTTCTGGAATGGTATAAGGACTCATGCCTTGGGCAGGGGGTTAGATTAGAAGACCTGCAGGGTCCCTTCCAACTCTGTTATTCTATATGCAACCAACTCCATGGTTAAGCAGATGGCAGATTACTGAGATATGTGAACCTAGGCTTAACAATGCACACACCCACACACAAAACATTTAAAACTGGTCTTAGGAGTAGGAAAAACATGAAGGAACTTTTAGTGGTTTAGAAAAGATTCTTCAGCATGAGAATAAACCCAAAACAACCCTATTAAATAACCCTATAACCCTATATATGTGTTTGGAATAAGATGAAACAAAGAACATTTTTGGAAACCTTGCTATGCCTGTCTCTTGACATGGCTTGTCTCAAAGGAGTGACGATCAGCCTTGATGGATGTTATGAAAATGGATACTCAAACACAGGGAGACCCCTAGACTGGGGAAAGGTGCATTACGAAGCTATCTATCATATGTCCAGGGTTTGACACTCCATAGGGGGTTTCATACTGTTCCTCTGTCACTTGGTGCATGTGGGCTTCACATTTGAAGGAAGACAAATTTCATGATGGCTCCTGTGTGTCTCTGGGGTCCATTTGAGATTAAATGGAGGGCAAAGACTCCCTGCTGCGCCTAAACCTGATTTAATTCTGCCTGTAATGTTTACAGCTGGTCAACCTCTTAATCTCATTCAGCCTAAGCCATAATTGTTCATCCATCATTCTTCCCATCTTTTATTCCTGGATGGTCCTCATCTACTCAAATTGAATTAGGTCTAATTAAATCCTGCTGGAAGATGGATCATGTGTCCCTGAGGCAGGTCCCTCAAGACACATGAGCACTGTAGCCTCTCGACCCCATGGAGCCCCCGCTTTCTCCCTCTGGTCTTTGAGTCAAGCATATTTTGATGAACAAGGGCTTCTTCAACAGTTCACTGGGAAAGTATTTGACTGCAATTTGACTTTGTCCTCATGATTTCTGGGTCCTACAGTTTTTTCTTCCCCCTATTTTTCTCTCTCTAAGAAAGGAAACTAAGAAACCAGTTATTCAAAAGATACTGTAGATATTCTGGAAATCCTCAAGATCATAGACACAGTGGTTCTCTCCATCTAGATGACATGGGAAGCAAGTTAAGTTTGGAAGTAATAGGATCATTTGTGTGTGTGTGTGTTTTTTTTTTTTTTGGTGTTTATTGTTTATTGGTTCGATTTATATGCCGCCCTTCTCTGGAGACTCAGGGCGGCTTACAATGCGTTAAGCAATAGCCTTCATACTTTTGTATATACCTGCTTAGTAGGGCTTTCGGCCCCCCCTAAGCGGTATTCTTTTTATACAAAGTCAGTTTATTGCCCCCACAATCCGGGTCCTCATTTTACCTACCTCAAAAGGATGGAAGGCTGAGTCAACCTTGAGCCTGGTGAGATTTGAACTTGCAGTAATTGCAGGCAGCTGGTGCTACTTAACAGCACTTGTTAACAAGTAACACTGTTAACCTAACAGTGTTAGGTTGTATGAGGAAACAAACACGTTTTAAACACTTTAAAAACGGAATATCCTCCTCCCCCACGCCCATCATTTTCCCACTACACAATCAGTGAAAAATCCAGACTGCTTTGAGTCAGCTGGCTTTATAACTATGGTAATACAACTTTTGGGTTGTTTCATGAAAGGATGAGATTGCTCAGCTGAAAATCTTATAACAATGACCTTTTTGCTTTTCCCTGCTGGGAAGGTGGTACACACAATGATGGAAAATTGAAATGGCTACATAGACACTGCTGATGCCCAATTAACTTGTGATGGATGCTCTTTGTGGGAGTAATTTGGTTTTGCTTAAGTAGGCAGTAGGCAAGCTGACATCAGCTTTACTCCCTTTTTTTAAAATTGCAAAACAAAAAAAAAATGGTGAGAAGGTTCATGCTTTCTTTCTTATCACAACAATGATTTTATTTATTAAGAGGATTTCTCCCCTATCCCTCAGCTGTGGTCAAGGATTACATTAAAAGAAAAGCAAATGACCCCCTTAAAAAAAGTCTGTCCCCCCAAGTCTGTCAGTGAAAACCAGAGATATGATTGAGAACCAAGGAACCTTTTAAAAAAAGGAATGAATTGTTAAATTTTGTCTTTCTAAATTTTTAAATACGTTGGAATTTATTTTTTTCCCAGGATTCTGAGCATAAATGTTAGCTTTATGTATCAGAAGTCCTCTATTTTGCTTCAAATTAAGCAACCTATCACTAGTACACTTGTACTAATTCTGCTCTATAAAGTCTTATTAAAGCCACATCTAGAATATTGCAGTGGTCACCACAGTATTAAAAAGTTATTGAGACTCTGGAAAGAGTGCAGAGAAGAGCAACAAAGATGATTAAGGGACTGGAGGCTAAAACATGAACGGTTGCAGGAACTGGGCATGACTTGTTTAGTGAAGAGAAGGACTAGGGATGACCTAATAGCAGTATTCCAATATTTGAGGGGCTGTCACAGGGAAGAGAGGGATGATCTATTTTCCAAAGCACCAGAAGGCCAGACAAGGAACAATGGATGAAAATTGATCGAGGAGATAAACAACTTGGAATTAAGAACTTCCAAAAAGTGAGGACAATTAATCAGTGGAATGGCTTGCTTTCATAAACTGTAGCTGCTCCATCACCAGAGGCTTTTATGAAGAGACTGGACAGCCATTTGTCTCAAATTGTATAGTTTCCTGCTTAAGCAGGGGGTTGGACTAGATGACCTACAAGGTCCCTTCCAACTCTTATTCTAAATCTCTTTAATCACTTAGGCAAAGTATGAATGTGTAAATGTGTGTCAAAGTGCACATATATAAACAAACAAGGAGATGTATATTTTACGCATCCTAAAATGTTTTTGCTCTTTCATCTCAAGCTCCCCAGCATTGCGAAAGCCTTAGTGGTCAGCAAGGAAAGGTGTACAGGTAGTCCTCGACTTACAACAGTTTGTTTAGTGACTGTTTGAAGTTACAACAGCACTGAAATAAGTGACTACCATTTTTCACACTTACAACTATTGCAGCATTCCCATGATCACGTGATCCAAATTCGGATGCTTGGGGACTGGTTCTTATTTATGACGGTCACAGTGTCCCAGGGTCATGTGATCCCCTTTTGTGACTTTCTGTTGTGACCCAGGCCCGAGTAAGTAGTAGGAAAATCAGTCAGTGAAAAAACAAACTTTATTCGAACAGCTGAGAATTATTTCATTCCCAGCGTTGTTCAACTAAATTAAAGCAAATTCCTCCCAACACAAATTCCTCAGTCCTATTGCAAACCTTAGTCCAATTAGGCAAACTGCCAAAGGCCTTTCTTGGCAAACGTTCAGAAGTCTCAGATACAAAAATAAATACAAGACGAAGACAAAGAAGAAGCTACCAAAGTTGTTTTCCAGCCAAGCCCAAACACCATTGCAGGTCTGTTTTAAGCCTTATGGGAGGGGTCAATCATCTCTTGGCCCTACTCCTGAGTTATCCTCTTTGCTTGAGCTGCTCTTGCCTTCTGGCAGCTCTTCTCATGTGTGCATTAGGAACAGGCTCCTCCTGTTCCTCTGCCTCACTCCTAACAGGCTCTGGAGTCCGCACCTCACTCCCCGATGGCCCTGGCCCCATCTCTGCCTCTGACGCAGAGCCCTCATCCCACCCTTCCCCAGCCTCCAGGACTGGCCCATGTTCTTCCTCAGCCTCATCGCTTCCGACTCCGCTGCCAGCTCCACAGGCTGCTGGCGGACAACAACACTTTCTGACGAGGAAAGTCAAGGGGGAAGTTATTCACTTAACAACCGTGTAACTAGCATAATAACTGCAGTGATTCACTTAACAACTCTGGCAAGAAAGATTGTAAAATAGAGAAAATTCATTTCATAAATGTGTCTCTTAGTAACAGAAATGTTGGGCTCAGTTCTGGTTATAAGTCAAAGACCACCTGTATTTGATTTGCCAGCAAAGAATCCTGTACAATTGATGATTTGGTTAGGAAATTTGATTAGGAAATCAAAGCATCTATAATCTATATTGGGACAACAGGGTCATTCAGCTTACAGTATGACTTCATTGAATTAACCCATTTTCTGAATTTGTACGGGGCACTGACTCATAAATAAATCCAGTGAATAGGATAAAATCTGAGGATAAAATAAAACATGAGTTGTGAGGTATAAGCTGACTTGCTTGAGGCATTCTGACCTGAATAGTTATTTCTCTATTTCTCTTTTCTCCCACCTCTTTTAATCAAACTCAGATTCATGGCAGTGTACAATAAAGCACACTGGATGAAGAAAATTGTCCCACACTTTTCTGAGTATAGAATATCAAATTTCCAGATAAAACAGATCTTAACCTGGTTGGTATTACTTGAC